GGGTCCTGCGTGTAGTAGGAACATGGCGCATACAGGTAGGTTTTGTAGGCGTGTATATGCCAGCGACATCCAATAGACAGGTGAAGGAGGATTTTGTGTGTGAGCATTTATTGTATTTTCTAAGGGCCTACTGTTAGTTTCCGTGATTGCTGGAGATTGGAATTGTGTTATCAGGGAAAAGGATGTAGAGCCGAGAGGAGGGAGGTGTAATTTAGGGATTTTATGGGAGGTTCTGCAGGCAATTGGTGTTATAGACGTGGTAGGGGGTGGAGGGTGGAATGTAGAAGGCACTTTTTGTCGAGGAGGGTATGCTGCGCGTTTGGACAGGGTGTATATCAATGATCTAATACGCAGTGGGAGGGTAGACTGCGTGGATCTGGGATTATCAGATCACATAAGAACATAAGAACATAAGAACGAAGGAACACTGCAGAAGGCCTACTGGCCCATGCGAGGCAGGTCCAAGTCCCTACCGGCTTAAGCCAATGCACCCAACCTAGTCAGGTCAGGTCACACTGACTTAAGGGAGGAACACGGCAACCGACCTGTTAGCACAAGCTATCAGGTCCAACTCACACCCACCCACATCTACTCATGTATTTATCCCCTATTTTTAAAGCCTACACAACGTTCTGGCCTCTATAACGGTACTTGGGAGTTTGTTCCACTCATCCACAACTCTATTACCAAACCAGTACTTTCCTATATCCCTCCTATATCCTCCGGGGCATGCTGGTGGCTCTAGAATGGGAAGGTGCTGTTCGGGTCTCCCCTAGTTACTGGAAATTAAATGTTAGGTTGTTGAAGGGTTTAGAGGCTTTGGAGACTTTCGGGTTATGGTGGGATAGGATGTGGGATGGAGGAAAAGGAATTGAGAATGTAGTGGATTGGTGGAATTTACAAGCAAAGTTAGCAATAAAGGATTTTTACAGCAGCTTAGGGAGGGAAGACGCGTTCTATAGATGCAGAAAGCAGAGGTATCTTGAGGGTCTGCTGCAAGATTGTTACAATGCAGGAGGGAGGTATGATCATGAGGAAATAGTGTCTTAGGAGTCAATTACAAGATATTCAGAATGAGAACTTTCAGGCGTTGAGGGTGCAGGCAGGGATTGAGGATGTGCTATGGGGGGATAAGCCCTCTGCTAGGGTTCTTCGAAGTTTCAGGTTGTGACGAAAGGGGATGACGGTGATGTCTTTGGTGGTCGATGAGGACTGGGCAGGATACCGTAAGGGACAAATGCTCTGCACTACTGAAAGCATGGGGAGCTATGCGGATAAATGGTTTGAAAAGAAATGGATTAGTACAGAGGGGAATAGAGAGGTGAGGGAGGCCTTACTGCATGGTATGGTGGCGAACGTGAGGGATGTGAATAGAGTGGTCGCGGAGGGTTGTATAACTGAGGAGGAGGTTTCCCAGGCCGTTGGGGGTCAGGCAATGGGGAAATCGCCGGTTTGGGACGGAATTCCGGGGGATTTTTATGTAGTACATTGGGACAAGTTAAAACATGTTCTGGTCCGCCTATACAATGCTATGAAATATGAAGGTTGAATGGGTGGGGAGGTGGGGTTAGGGACTGTGGTGTTGGTGCTGAAGGTGAATCTCCATGGAACTCTAGGTGAATTTAGGCCCATCATGTTGTTAGGAGCAGATTACAAAATTTTTGCAAGAATTTTGGCCAACGGTATGAAACAGATTTTGGATAAGGTGGTATGGGAAGGGCAATATGGGGTTCTTGGGCGGTCTATGAGGGATGGCCATCTTAGAATTAAAAGTTTTGTGGAGAAAAATTCCGGGATGGAGTAGTAGGGTTAGAGTGGGAAAAGGCTTGTAATGATGTGGATAGGGAGACTTTATTGGCAATATTATTGAAGCAGGGTTTTGGGGAGGAAGTGGTGGCACGGGTGCATATGCTATATATCGATGCAAAGGTATGGGTACAGGTGAATGGGAGGGTAGGGTCCACAATAGGCATGGGGATGGGGCTGCAGCAGGGGTGTCCCCTATCGCAACTCTTGTTTGCCTGTTTGCAGAACCCCTTTTATAGGTTAGTAGCTGGAGGAGTGGGGAAGGGGGTTAGTGGGCAGGGTGTAGAGGTGGGCATCATAGACTATGTAGATGATACCACCATAATGGTGCATAGTAGGGAAGGTTTGGAGTTCATTAATAGGGATATAAGTTTTTTTTGGCGATGCATCAGGTATGCGTGTTAATAGGGAGAAATCAAAATTCTCGTAGGTGGAGTCCTGGGTAAGGGGGACGTTGGGTAGGGAATATGGGTGGAAAACTGTTGATTGACTCAAAATATGTGGAGTATATTTTTGAAATGACGAAAGGTTAGCACGTGCAATTAATTCGTCTTTCGTGGTAGATGCGGCCATTCGACGAATGGTGGGATGGCAACCAGGTGAGGTGACGCTACTCCAGAGGGTAATCGTCATTAGCATCCTAGTATATAGCAAATTATGGTTTGTTGCGGCAATTTATACTTTGATCGCAGATGATGTACTGAGGCTTTGAATTTTATTTGGGGATTCCATCAGCATTGGTTGGGGAAGGATGTTGTCATGACAAAAGTAGCTAAGGGAGGTATTGGGTTAATACCATTGCACAGGCGTTTAATAGGTATTTATGTACGACAGGAATATCTGGTGTGGGGTGGTGTTAGGGGGTGAGGGTTGATGCAGTAATGAGAGAGGTTAAACGGTGGTGGGTGGGAAAGGATTTAATATTGTGTGAAGCGATGTTGTGGCATCTATTGGTAGCGCAAGAACCTAAGAGGGTAAAGGTATGTAAACTGGGTAACACTGGTCTGTCCGTGGGAGAGGTAATTGGTGAGGAGGTTTTTCCATGTTACCAATGGAAGTCCATTTGGTATTGGTTCAGGCGATTGCGTTTACACCCTCGGGTCCGAGAAACTGGGTACCGTTTCCTCAATGGAATACTAGCGTCTAAGGCTAAGGCGCAATTGTATGTTATGGGCCTGACTCAGGCTCAGGTCTGTGTATGGTGTGGGTGGCCGGAAACGGCATTCCACGTCGTATACTTTTGTGGTTTCAGGGTGTTTTACGACAGGTGGGAGGAGGGAGGTTGTCAATGCCTAGAGTATTAAATCTAGAAGTATGGGGGCGTTCTGATGTGGTCCGACGATCGGTTTCGTACTTGGTGCTCGACTATTTGTGCGTTTCATGGGAATGCGGGAGATTAGGAGTGCGACGCGCATCAGGGCACTGGCGTGTCGTTTTTACAGAACAAAATGTAGAAATCGAGAGGTGTATGGACAATGCTGGGAGAGAGACTTTTCGTTGGAATATCGAAACCTAACGATGGAGGTATTAAAGGGGTTATGACATCTATAATGAGTTGTTAGGTTACAGGATGGAGTGTGTGGGTTGGTCTCTCGGGGAAAGGGGGTAAGGTTTAGTGTATGAGGTGTACTAGTGAATAGGTGTGCATATGTGCGGGGGTGTGGCCTTGGGGGGGGTGTCCTGTATGAGGTCCGGGGTATGTTTTCTCGATGTGGTTGATGACTCGGACTGGAAGGGGGGGACATACAGGGACTCAGTGCTTGGTTTTATCATTTCGGCAGACATGTTGGTATTCCATTGTCCAGTCAGCCTGTTTCAGAAAGGGGACCGGTCATATTATTAGCATATAGTGTGGCATGAGAGCTAGATACTCAAATTGAGCTATTAAATCCGGAGAGTTTCATCATATATCTATGCTGTATATCATGTAGTCAAATGGAAAGTCATGTTTAATGTATTATTAATTCATGTCCTTTGGTTGTGTGGTTAGTAGTGTTAGGAGGGTATAGCGTTATTATGCTTGGAATGGATTTGTACCTTTTGACAAAATTTTATGTTAACTGCAATCATACGTGTCTCCTTATATATATATATATATATATATATATATTAATATATATATATATATATATATATATATATATATATATATATATATATATATATATATATATATAATATAAAGTATATGCATTTTTATGCATATACTTATATGTCTGATGTAATGTTATCATAAAAGTTGGAATTCTCAACTGTAATCGAGTTGTTATATTCTATGTATTGTGTCAAAAGATATGTTTATGTATGTTATTATTATATGTTTAAATACACGATTTTAGGATATTGTATGGTAAAGTGCAAGTGGACTTTTGCACGTGGAGGCCGGGGGTTGGGGGGTACGAAATGCAGACTGAATCCTTAGCTTTTAATTGTACTTGTGCAACATGGCATTTGACTGAAGAGTGAGGGTTGTGGGGATAGTCTTTTTGGTTTAATTATGATTCTTTTTAACTGCATTTGGTGTAGTGTAAATGTTTGATGTCCTGTTACTTACAAGTTTCATTGTTACATATTGCCATATGTATCTGATTATGTGAACATCAAAATGGTATACAATACCGACAGGTTGGTAGGTAAGACACATAGGCAACAGTTAGGCAACTTTACTCCGATAAGTTTCGCCTACACAGTAGGCTTTTTCAGTCAAGTACAGAAAGTAGGCAGGAGCAGTAGAGATGTGAAGACGATGTAATCAGTCCATCACCCTTGAAGTCGTAGAATTTGAGGTTGTCAGTCCCTCAGCCTGGAGAAGTTATGTTCCAAAGTCTGATTATGTATCTCTGTGCATTGAAGTTTTTAAATAAAAAAATTTTGTTATTGTGATATTTTAAATCCTTAATTAAGCCCTAATGCTTCATGTGTTTATAAACAATAGTGGTTTTTACATGAACGAAGTAAGAACGTAACAAGTGGAAAATAAGTGTGTTTTCTGTAGTGTTTCGAGAGTTACCAGATAAATATATTCATGACAGACTATTGTACCTCCATTATGTTAAAAACACTTGCATGAGGGCGCTCTTCTAAGAGCATACCCGAGGTACATAAGTAATTCCCTTGCACGGCCTTGAACGGGATTAACTTGACTGATTACAAAGAAATCGAAAATATCTACTAATGAGTATATTTGATTTCAGGGTGAGTGTGGAGGTGTGGTTGTTTGTAGCAGGACTGGTGCTGGCGGCTTATGTATACTCTCGCTGGCGCCACAGCTACTGGTCGTCCCGTGGTATTCCCACCCCACCTTTTCTACCATTCCTGGGACACATGCATAAGAAGTTATCATTCTTTCAGTCTCGATGGGATTATTTCGACGAGGTTAGTTCTCGCCATTCTATGGTTGTCATCAAGAGCTTCTGCAAACATTTTAATGGAAGAATGAAACTACATATTTTTTTGGAAATGAAATATATCGTCTTAATTACCATTATTATTATTTTTATTATTTATTATTATTATTATTATTATTATTATTATTATTATTATTATTATTATTATTATTGTTGTTGTTATCAAGCGCTAAACCCACTAGAATCATACAGTGCTGCAGGGAAGGGGGTGTTGCTGGATCCGAGAGTAGCAAAGGTGGAGAGGATAACAGAGGAAGTGTTGGAAAGATTTGTGAAGAGTGTTAAAGGAAGTATTACCAAAATTTGTGTGATAAATCAGTTGCTGTCAGAAAGACAAAGAGGGAGTCTGAGTCAAAGGTGGGGCGGTCAGCAAGGAGGGAAGATAAAGTAAGGGTGAAAGAGCGGTGACGACGTCGGAGGTAATGTCTACGTTCTCGATGATAGACTGGACAGTCCAATTTAATATGACAAACTGAAATTGGAACCTGACAATTCTCACAGAGTGGAACAGGGCACCTCTCTATGAGGAACCCATGAGTAAGACTGATGTGCCCGATGTGAAGACGGGCGAGCATAGTCTCTCGACCTCGGCATCGATGATATGAAGGCCAGAAATCTAAATTTAGCTTGATAGAATATAATTTGTTATGAGTCATATCGTATTAACGCTGTATCTAATGGCTGTGTAGGTGGTTAGAGGATACAATAAAATATTCTGAGAATGGAATAACTCTCTATGAAACTGGGAGGTCATGCTCAGCTGACCGCAGAGTCCGTCTGCTTGTTGCCTTGAGCGTCAACTTCATCTGGGATCCAGTAGAAAACGATTTCTTTGTTTTTTGCTCGAAATGCTGCGCAACTAAAGCTGTATACGAAGAACCAGGGGATGAAGCTAATCAATTTTTTAAAAGTTTGCAAAGCACTGAAAAAGTCTGAGACTCCTACAGACGTTGAGGTAGGCATAAAATAATAGCCGAGTCTAATAAATGAAACCTTCAGAGGTTTCAGAACCATCAGTGTATACTGCAATCACATGGAAAATGAGACCGGAAGTGGTTGAAGCAACTTTAAGTATTTAAGCTTTCGCACACGCCAGTGGGTAACAACAAACATGAACTGTCGGAAACTCAAAACGAATAAAAGTTAGATGCTCGATGAACATATAAAGGGAACAACTGAAGAGAAGACAAGACGAAGACGAAGAGAAAAAGGATGGAATAAACAGGGGCGGCGTCATGCCCCTATTGTTAACTTCTTTAATACTACATTGCGGTCATTTCCTTTAATAGCTAAATTGGAAATGAACATCCTTGTATTATTAAGGCTTATTCTTATTAACGCGTATTATTATTTTCGTAACATGGCCATGATAAGTTAATTTTTTTTTATTTAAAATGCAATACATAGCTTATCATAAAACCCCTTAAATAAGGGTTGATATACATTTAATATAAATACATTATGAATCACAATCCCTCAGGACGTACAATAGCAAAATAACAAGCAATATTAACAGACACAAAGAGGTTACACAAATACACTAGAAAATATCGCTTATGACAGAACAGAACATTAAGAAAGATGGGTAATTTTAATCCTACGTACACAAGAACAACAACAAGGACATAACATGTAGATGACCCCTGTCACAATTAAATCCATAATCCCTTCAGGTATACACTATTTACATAATATTACTGTGACTTATTGTCAATGCACAATACAATAAGAAGAATATTACGATAAATATATCGGTTACTCTCAACCTGCACAAATAATCAATAAATGAAAGGACCTACATCACAATCTCATGATAAAACAAAGTACATACTCTTACTCAACTAACCCCCCAGTACATAAGTTCCCTACAGTCACACATGCTCGCCTTACCACAAGTCTTACGAGTCAGCCACAAAACTAGAAAAGCCATAAGCATTCCGCACTCACCTACAGTCTATATACATTATATAATATAGCAATAAAATACTCGGTACAAACACATAAAACCCCGTTTGTCAGGGCAAAGCCTAAACGTCAACAAAGAAAGAAGGCAGTAGACTGACATAAGACAGCTATAACACATTATACAACTGCACCACCACATCCTCTCACACAACCACATTCACCACAACCACACATTACACTGATACACACAGCAACACAGCCCTTGTGCATACCCAACCCCGGAGACGACCCCGTTCCATCCCCTGAACTTCAACTCCCCCCCCCCTTTCACAACGCTAACAATGCTCTCACTCTCATACTACAATACCCTGCTGAAAAAGCCTGGTTCCAGTGACTTCCATATATTCCCCGATTCCAACACAACGTTCTATGAATGGTCGCCGCCAACAACCTTTTGCGCACCTCCCAATCCCCATTCCCTCTCATCGCCCAGGATACAAAAACAAAATCCGGAATTATATACGTGATTGCACGTTGCACAGGCGCCTCTATGCCTCCCACATCCAAACTTAACGCCCTCAATACTGATATCCCGCCCCCTCCCACTGTCCTCAGAACTTTGCCCATCCATTCCCTGATACTCCTTAAATTATCACAAAAATACACTACATGAAATGCCGTCTCCTCATCCCCACACACCCGACACGCGCCCTTCACCATCAACCCTCTTTCCTTAAGTGCAGCACCCGACGGCAGTATACCATGGAGAAAACGGAAAAATACCTCTCGCACATTTGGTCGCACGTGCATCAACCGTAACCTCTCCCATATATCCCCCCCCCGCATACATAGGGTAGATACTCTCAGCCTTCGCGACTACCTTCGCCCCTACAGCACGCTCTAAAACACCCACCCAAACTTTATTAGGGTCCCGGACATGCAGCAACGCCCGCAACACGTCTTCACACACCCTCTTCTCCTACCCTCCCCACCACATTCCCCCTCTTCAGTAAGTCATTCACCCCCCTTCCCCGTTTTTTCCCCGCACATGGCAAACCCCCCATTTTAAATAAATACACTTGACTCTTAACCGTAAATAAATCAACCCCAATCCTTGTTGACGGGAGGGTAACGCACCCTACTAACCATTACACCGGGAAACCCCAAAAAAAAATGGAAAACCCCCTTAACGCCTCGAACATCCGCCTCTAAGGGATATATGTGCCATGTGCCGACTTTATGATAACAACACTTTCACAAAATCGCACGCTGAGTACTGCAAACAGTTGGTCCAACCCATAAAAAGCCCCCCACCATCGATCCAAAACAAGTCTGAATTAACCACCCTTTGCCCCTCTCGCACACCCTATACACATCCCACACATTTTATCCTGTCCAAATTCCAACGTACATTCCACCCCCAAACTCTCTCTTCCCCCCTATCCCTAAGCCCTAATTTTGATTTTCCACTTTAAACTCTTAAACCGGTACCCCCCGCGAAATTTCAATAACATCTCCTACTGCACTAAACCCCTCCGCAACGAGTACTGTCGGTCATCCACGTACCCTATTATTCGCTGCCTCCCACTTCCACCCCCCACCACCTCCACATACACCCCCCACCGCTTTTTAAAAGGGTCTTTTTTAAAAAGGCAAACAACAATTGAAAAGGGGGACAACCCGCCTATCCCCTGACCCAGGAACCCACCCCTAAATTTCCCATTTACCTTTTACCACACCCCCCCAACCTTTATAAATGCTCTGCTCAAAAACCACCACCTCCCCCCCCAAAACCCCGCCCCCTTAATTGTACCACAACACCCCCCGTTCTACACTATCATACACAGCCCGCCAATCAATGCAAGACACCCTCCCCTGCTCCCCCCTCGACCCTTTCCCAAAAATTTTTTATAATACTATGCCCGTCATACTCTCCTCCCCGACCACCTAGTCCTGTCGCAACCCTCTACCACCACACACTTCGCCTATTTCCTAAAATTTTTGCAAAATCTTATAAACAGCCACACAATGATATTATCCTAAAGTCCACACCGTGTCTTTTCGCTCACCTTTGGCACAAAACAACAAACTGGTTCCTTGCAACCTGCCCATCCCCCCTCCCTTTTACGTATTTATTGTTTTACTAAGAAAACTTCAACAACTCCAATGGCTTTACATAAAACCACGGGCAAGCCCCCCAAACCGGGCCTTCCTTGTGCCATCCCCTCTAAAGCCCCCACACCTCCCCCTTTTTCAAAAACCCCCCCAAACCATCGATCACTTCCACTTAGCACACAAAACATTCTCCCCCCAACCCCCGAAAGCCCCACATCCCCCCGCACTCTAAATTTCCCCAAACCCCACCTACCACGTAATCACTCATCGCCTCCGTTGTTTTTAATCCTGTCCAGCCCTAAACCCCCAAGCCTTTATGTACCCCGCCTACTTTTCCCCATAGCCATAGGGGGCCTCCCTCTGTCCCCGAACGCACAGGCCAGGGGTGATCACCCCACACCGCCTCTTAAAATCCCCCCTGCACCTCACCGCATCAAATTGTCATTCGCAAAACTCGAATCCCCCCTTTTAAAAACAACTCATTCTCCCCAGGGGATATCCCCTGCCTGCCCCCCCTCTCATAACAACCTTGAAAAACCTACCCTCGAATCGCTGCAACTCGTATGTATCCAACCCGGGAAACTTTCCCCATTGCGCATAAAACTGCCCCTTCTTTAGCTACCCCATCCCACCACCCCGTAAGTCACCCACAAATTCTTCCCATTGCCCAAAAAATAAAACCCCGCCTCCTCCCCCCCAAAATCTACTTTTAATTCAATCCCCTGGAACCTTTTTAGGCAAATTGGCCAATCAAGTCCAAAAAACCTCTATGACCATGTTACAGCACTACCATTCAGCACATCCCCCCACACCTTCTCGTACATATAACCACTAGCCGGCCGCGTATCTCGTCTATAAATTAGCTCAACCATCAGGTCCCCCACCCCAAAAACATCCCTTAACCCCACGCCCTTTAAAGATCCCTTGCCAAACCAAAAAAAACACCCG